AGATGGATACAGTTGTCTTCTGCCTCCCATCATTTTTAATGGGCCTTTTCTTCTGGCTACTTTTAAGATTTTCTCTTTGTTGCTACTTTTTTTAATCAATGTTATCGTGATGTGCCAGGTGGCTTTATTTGAGTTGACGCAGATCAGGGCTTATTAGGCTACTGAGATCTGGGGATACAGTTTTAATTAAATTTGAAATACTGCTGGCATTTCCTCAAATACTACTGCTTTGTCCTCTTCTAACCCCACTTACACACACATTAGTGGATGGATATTGTCCAACAGGTCACTCAGAATCTGGTCAGTATTTTTTGCTTTATGATTTTGGATAGTTTCTGTTGTGTCCGTGCACTCTGGTCTTTAGCAGTTTCTAGTATTCTTTTAACCCAATTCAATGAAACTTTATATTTTATGGATAATTTTCTCTGAAATATTTGTTTGGTTCTTATTTGCATCCTTTTTTGTGTCTTATTTATATCTTCTCTTTATATTCATGTTTTTCTTTTAGTCTTTGAGACTATTGAGACATGTATTATGGCTATTTTAAAGGTCCTTATTGTAATTTTATCATCTTAATCATATCTAGTTCTGTTTTTATTGACTCAGATGTATGTACAATAACTTTCTATTTACTAATGTGTCTAGTAATTTTTAATTAGGATCAGACGTTGTCCTTTCTTAGTGTTGGATTTTTAGACTTCATCCTACCTGGTATTTTTACTTCCTGTTTTTCAATGTCTGGAAATTGTTGTTTCATATATTGTGTCCAGTTTCCTACCTGTTTGATGTAGAACAAATCTCACCTTTCTTTTAACTCCCCCCTAGCCAGAGTTGTATTTGATTTCTAATATAAAATCCTAGTAATCATTCACACGATTTTAAGCCTCATTTTAAAAACTCAGCTAATCTCTTACATGGCTTATATGCTAGGTAGGCTTCTGGATCAGAATTTGAGTGACATTTTAATAGGACCCCATCTATTTTTCTAAAGGACATTAAGAGATGACTTTTATTGTTTTCAGACTTACCATAAACATTTGGGGCTAGCTGTCCTATTTCTTTGTCTTCTCTTTATCTAATAACTCACTCCAGATTTCCACAGTATGGACTCTGCGAAAGTCCTCTTTTTCCGGTGACACCTCCCGGCCCGCGGACGAGTACTTTTAGGTAGCTATCTCTTTTTCTCATGACATCTCCTGTCCTGTCAAAGGCTGGAGAAACTCTGGGTGAATCGACCTCATCTGTGCAGCACTTGCCTAGCACGAGCAAGGCTCCGGTCTGACCCTCCGCACAGAAGGAAGGAAGGAAGAAGGAGACCACATGTGTCTTTTTGTTGTCACCTTTATTTTTTGGAAAGTTTTACATGATTTTATTGTTAGGAGGGCGACTCTTCAGTTTCTGCTGTCAGGCCTGGAAGCGTCTGCTCTTCCATGGAGGCCTGAACGGGGTCCTGGGCTCGGGTGGTGGTGCCTGATGTTGGCCTTCCCTCGGGAACTTCAGTCCTAGGACAGCACTCACCCTTCAGGGCAGGGACCCAGATTCCACGGGGGTTGGCGAGTCTGAGCCCCTGGAGCTGGGGGCCTTGGGGAAGAGCAGCCTGGTGTGGGGATCACTGCCAGAATGTTCCATGGAGGCTCCAAGGGCCCTGGGAAGGAGGCCCGCTAGGAAAGACCGTGGTCAGAGTTCCCAGCCTGTTGTTTCCGTGGGCCCTGGGAGAGGTGGCGGCGGGGAGCGCGAGGCTGAGCACAGGGTCTCAGCCTGACCCACTGGAATTGTGGAGGATGGCCCATAGCTGCAGCCTCTGGTCTCCTGGGTCCCCTCTGTGGTGGCCCCTGTGTGCTGGACTCCTCTGCACCAGTCCTGAAGGTCGGCTCAGGTGAGAAGACGGCAGGTGGTGCATGCACCTCAGGAAGGAGGCCCTAGAGGAACCCAGTGCGGGCCGCTGGTTCAGGCTGCACTGTGGGGTGCACCCTTCCACTGCTGGATACTCCGGACAAGGCCACTCTCTACGGGTCCCACAGTTCTAACAGTTCAACATGAAGACATCTTTCAGTCACCACCTCTCGAGAGAACGGCAGTCCCTGTCACAGGACTAGAGAGTCAATGTCAGGATGAATTTGCCCCAGAGGAAAAGTTACCTCATGGGACTTTGTGCCCACAAAGTGAAGGGTCTGGTCAGTAGGGATCCTGTCGACCACTGTCACGTGCAGGGCTGCTGGTCCTTGCTGCTGTGACATCCAGTCCAACTGTCCCACCAGGTTGGGACCAAGAGAAGCTACTCCTGTCCTTGCGCAGGAGGTGGGACACAGGTGGGAGAGAGCTGAGCTGGTACACTCTCTCCGCTGAGTGAGGGCAGAACCAAGCCCGGGCACAGGAGAAAGCAAGACTGAAGGATCTGTGAGCACAGCTCTGCACCCCACATCTGTCAACCTCTGCTCCTCTTCCAGGGGCCTCCCTGGGCTTCAATAAACTGTTTGCTGTTCACCAAGAGCACGTGCCTCCCCAGTTCCCGCCTTGCCTGACGCCACTCCATCTGCCTGGCGTCGCCTGCCCTTTGCTCACTTGCCGAATGCCCTCTGCTTTGATCTCTCCCCACCCACTGCCCACCAGGCAGGGGAGGGACCTCTCCTGACCTCTTCTGTGGTGTCCCTCAGAGGCTTCAAACTCACCTGGGCCTTCTGTTTCTTGGCCAATGGACATTTTCCAAGTCAGTGAATGAAATTAAAGGAGTAAATGGATTCTCTGTGGCAGGGCCAGCAACCCACGTCTTTGCAGTGACTGTGCCTGGCCATGTCTAGGGTGGCTGATGGTGAGTGACCTCCCTGTCCTTTCCCCTCATGATCCTGTGTGTGCCCCTTCTGCTTCCTGACCTGGTTCTGTCTGTGGTGTCTTGTGTGGATAAAGCTCACAGAAGGCACCTGGCAGGTCTTGCTCAGGTGACATGGTGAGGGGCAGACGACATGCACCCAGTAGTTTGGAGACTGATGGTGATGGATTTGGCTACCTGGAGACTGGTCATGACGAGCGACCTGGGCCTTGGCCTCTCCTCTGCAGGTAGCTGGGATGGTCTGTGGGCATTTCCCTCCTTCTGCCCTTTCCTGGGTGGAGGGCAGGTGGAGGCCTGTTGGCGAAGGACCCCTGGGAGGCAGGCAGCCACACTCCCGGGGCACTGGCTGGCAGCGCCTGCCCGGTCCTCTCCCCTCTGCCACCTGGAAGATGCCTGGGTTGCGAGGCTCAGACTTTTCTAGGCCGTGAGCGTTTTCCAAACCAGTGAGGAGAAGCACCTGAGGAAATGGTGTCCATCTAGCAGGTGGGGCCTCCCGCGGTGGGGGTCACAGAGCGCAGGCACCTGCAGGGACACCTGTGCCACACGCCCAGACGCTGCCTGGCTGGGCCTTTCAGTCGGGCAGGCATTTTTTTAAATATTTTTTTTAGTTGTAGATGAGCACAATATCTTTATTTTTATTTATATATTTTTATGTGGTGCTGGGAACCGAACCCAGGGCCTCGTGCCTGCGAGGCAAGCGCTCTACCCCTGAGCTGCAGCCCCAGCCCCAGGCAGGCTTTTTGACTGGCTTTTTGGGTTTTTTCCCACAGAATTTGTAAGCTGCTTGCGGGAACCGGCTGCATTAATCAAACAGTTGTTTTCGGAGACGTGGTTTACGTTTGCCGGAGCCACCGAGGTTTCCATAGGCGTGATTTTAACTTGCTGAAAGTAAACTGTGGGCCAGAAATC